ACTGAAAATGTCCAGATGAACAGAATCAACCTTTTGGGATTTACTTACCATTTACCATGTTACAAATTTAGTCCTTTTAAATCAGACATTAATAGCTAGAATTAATTATATTTTTAGATTATGAAATTATTTAGATAATGAAACTGAATGCTTTTTCTCCTGCAGTATTCAGTTGACTTTGTCGGTTGCTGTTAAACTTTGTCATGCACAGAAGAGTTTATACGAGCATGTTTAGATCAATCAGTATCTCAGTTTACTCAGCGTGTGGTGATTTTAGATGCTTCAGACGCTCAAGTAATTATAGCTTCTTAGATACAAAGACACACATGAGAAAATGTTTTCGTTTGTTCACAGCAAAGTTAAAACACTTCAGCGTGATCATTTGGTTTAAGAATCTTGTGGCTTAAGAATTCAACATAAACCTTGTAGTTGTAAACATGTCAGTTAATCCTCTGCAGCTAAATAGTGACCATGGCAATAACAATAACTTATGTACATATTAACATATTTTGAAACAATTACCCAACAGTAGGGCTGTGGATGTCAGTTACTACTTTCATTTACTGCATTCATCTTTAAATTTGTTAACAGTTTTAAAATAATTGACAAAAAAAATATAAAGATAATCCCAGTGTCATGCACTCGGGTGTTGGCGATCGGCTATACTTCCCTGCTGACTTTGTGAATTTGTGTAATAAGCTTCAGAACATGCTTTTGTACATGCTCGGATTGAAGATTATGATTGTTTGGTAGCACGCTCTACAAGTAAGCCAAATCCTGTTCTCACCGTTTAATCTCTTGTCGTCACAAACTTCGCCATGGACCAATTCCACTCTCTCTCCCGTTTCAGAAACTTTTCCCTGCGAGATTCCCCCCCATGAACTTTGACTACTTCTTTGTAAATACTCACTGTAAACTTGTCTCTTTTGTGCATTGTCTGCTTTTGGGTTCATTTTTGTTAGAACCAGTAAAAATATTATGTATGAGAAAACAAAGAAAGAAAAACTATGTTTACATAAAGAAAAATGACAAGCATGTTTTGGAACTTGATATTTATTTTAGTAATAAGTTTGAAATTTAGTATTAAAAGATCTATATAATTTTATGTTAACTGAAGTAAGAAATCGAAAAAACAAAGACTTATATAAAAATGTTTTTGAAACACCATAACACAGGTACAGCAACATTACAGTCCTATTTGTTTGACACATTAGAAAAATGAACAAAATATAAACCCTTTTAAAACACACAGATGGTCCCAAAATAGTGCTTTAGTTCATGAGATCAATTAATTGATCAGTTGGTTTACTAACCTAAAATAAGTTTAAGAAAATCTTCCAAAAAATGAAATTCAGTTAATAAATGGTATCTGCTTTATTCAAGATGGCACCAGTGTGTATGGCCTGCCGTCTGACTCTGTTTGTACTAGTGTTTTATTTTTTACTTTGTTTTAAAAAATGCTAACTCTCTGCTCGTATATGATCGCCAAATGCTGCTGGCAATAAGATCCTCTCAGTTAAAAACTCTTTATTGTAATCGTGGATATCAGGGAACCTTCTCCCCACCGCTCCTGTCAGGAGTTCCAGCTTGTCTCCGCTGTTTTTCGGCGCTACCTCAACCGAGAGGGCGCCGTAGACGCCGTGGGAAACGCAGTGGCTTATTGGTGAGAATGAAGGCTACCTGGACACGATTTCGAAAAATACCTCACCCTATCCCGACTGGATTTGACCCTCCCCTCCCATCTTCGCTCAGGTGGAGTAAACCCTCAGAACCTACGGCCGATAGGTCGGGCACCCACATCGGCCGCTGAGCCACCGGTACCACTAAGATTAAGTCTTGTTAATGCTTGATCGCTAGCAAACAAACCTTTTATCCTTAAGGATTTCTTTATTGATCGAGAACTGGATCTAATGCTTTAAACGGAAACTTGGCAGAGAGTCGGTGAGTCCAGCTGTTTTATTGAACTTTTACCACCAGATTATGAGTATCTTAATATGCCGAGGATGACTGGGCGTGGTGGTGGAATGGCAGCTGTTTTCAGGAAGAATCTCTCTTGCAATCAACTCTTAACTGACTCGTATTCTAGTTTTGAACTTCTGACCTTTGAATTGAGGCATCCCCGCCCGACACTCGTTGCAGCTGTATACAGACCTCCAAAATATCACAAGGATTTTATTCAAGACTTTTCAAACTTTTTAGCTCGAACTGTGCCAAGCTACGATCAAATCTTAATCGTTGGAGATTTTAATATTCATGTGTGTTGTCCCTCCAATTCATGAGAAAGTGCACTTTTAAAAGTTCTTAATGATCTTTTATTAGCCACTGACTCAGGTGACTCAGCTGTGCTTCTGCTTCTGGATCTGACCGCTGCCTTCGATACTGTTGACCACAGCATCTTAATCTCACGGTTGGAGCATTGTGGCATTAAGGGCACCCCATTAGAGTGGTTCAGGTCATACCTGTCTGACAGGACTTTCTCTGTGAGCTTTGTCGATTTTATCTCTTCCTCAGCTCCCCTTACTTGTGGTGTTCCCCAGGGATCTATACTGGGGCCAAGTTTATTCTCCATTTATATGCTGCCTCTAGGTCTAATTTTTAGAAAATATAACATTTGTTTTCATTCATATGCCGATGATACTCAGATCTATCTTCAGCTGAAGGGAAATATTTCTTCCTCACTAGATCCCAGTGTCTCGGTGAAGTTAAATCTTGGATGGCCTCTAACTTCCTTAACTTCAATGAGAACAAAATTGAAGTGATAATTTTTGGACCAAGTGGCAATCCCAGCACCTCTGATTTTAACCTGCACAGTCTTGAGCCTTTTGTCAAATCACATGCCAAAAATTTAGGGGTTATATTTGACAGCAATTTCACCTTTGAAAAACAGATTAGCTCAGTCGTACAGCGGGCTTTCTTCAAACTGAGGCTTCTAAGGTGAGATCATTTTTATCTTTCAAAAACTTTGAACGGGCGATTCATGCTTTCATTATATCCCAGCTGGACTACTGTAACTCCTTATATGCTGGAGTTAGCCAGACCTGCCTGGCAAGGCTGCAGTTGGTCCAGAATGCTGCAGCTCGTCTTCTGACACGTACTAAAAGATGTGAACACATTTCCCGGTGCTTGCCTCCCTTCATTGGCTCCCTGTCCACTTCAGAATTAATTTTAAAATTTTATTGTTGACTTACAAAGCCCTGAATGGACAGGCTCCCGGGTATTTGTCTGAACTCCTGCAGACTTATACCCCCCTTAGATCTCTTAGATCAAGTGATCTTTTGCTTTTAGCTGTACCAAGGTCGAGGCTGGTTCATAGAGGCGATCGAGCATTTGCAGTCATAGCGCCTAAGCTGTGGAATAATTTACCCCTACACATCAGACAGGCTCCCACTGTCAATCTTTTTAAATCTTATCTTAAAACGCATTTTTATTTACTGGCTTTTAATACAGCATGAGAGTTATTTGTTAATTCATATTTGGTGTTTTGCTGTCTCAATACTCAAAGTTATTTATCAGGTATGTTGTATTTTTGTACAGCACTTTGGTCAACGCTCCTGTTGTAATTAAATGTGCTATATAAATAAATAAACTATATAAACTATAAATCGGACACAGCAGTGTATTTTAAACATATTTTTAGTTTATAAAGGTTAATACATTTTTCTAAGACTAAACCAACTTTAGGATTTGGGAATTTTAGATAGATGACAAGAGCTTTTCCTTACTTCATTTAACTGATTCTCGACTGAATAAAGTGTTACAAGTTGAACAACTGACTATTTAAACATAAATCAGTGACATAACAGATATCATGTTTCTCCATGATGGAGTGCTTTGACCTCAAGCACTCCTAGGGACTCTGAAAATATACGCTCCCCTTATAGAATGGCGCAGCGCCAAGTTCCACGGCTGCTCTGGGAAACCTGTTGGAAGAGATCATTTAGTGTTCTTGTTTTGTGGTAATAGAATTCATCACAGCTGTAAAAACTACAGTCACTAAACTTGGAAGACAAAAAACAAATACTGCTGAGTCTCTTTTACACTGCAGATATTAGAACAGAAGTCACACAGCAATAAACTTGTTCAGTCAAATTAAATTCACTTTGATGTGTGGGCAAAGTCTCCTTTATCAGACTGGGGCCGTAACCTTTATTGTTTAAATGGATCCAGTTTAAAGATTTACAAATCTAAATGTGCAGTCGTCCCCTTAGACAAAAACACAGAGTGCACTCAGTGATAAAATAATGAACAAGCATTAAAATGTTTATTTTACTGATCTGTGTGCTAAATATCCAAGTGAATGATTTTCAGCATTTGTCTTTGTTTTAAAAATTACATTTTGCTTTTATGTTGTTTTATGTTTGGAAGGAAATTCTGAACGATTATAACAGAGAGATGAACAGTCCCTGATTTCTGGACCTTTATTTTTTCAGGGTTTCTCCTGCTAGAGCTGATTGTTTAACTTTCTCTCAAACAGCAGGTAAAAGGACACATTAAGAAAGACCAGATTGGAGACATGCTCTGTTATAAGACATGATATAACAATACAATCGCAAACTTCACTAAAGAAAAAAAAATCTGTTTAAATGTAAATTCAACCACATGTTATGTAAATATAAAGTGGTTGATGGTGTTTTTAATTTAAGTTAGTAAGTAAAGTTTATTTAATAAGTGAATACTGATAACAAGGTTCACTAACATTTATTTGGTGTCTGAAGTTTGTTCTCATGTATGATTGCAACCTGAACATGTATAAAAGAGTGGTGATTGATTTGGGTGACAAAGATTTACCTCATTGAGATTTTTCTCAGTTTCCTTTTCCCCGAGCTGGTTTACCAACTAAAACACAGAAGAATGATGAAGAGAAAGATCACAACTATGAACTGAAATATGTTTTTGTGGTGGAAAATTAATTTTTTGGAAGAAATTCTAAATTTGCAGTGTATACAAAGAGATAAAAGAGACATGACAGCAGCGAACTGCTTTGGGTGAAAAGATTTACCTCTTGGAGTTCTTTCTCAGTTTCATTATTCCTCATCTTCTCAGTCTGAAGTATCTTTTCCAAACAGCAGAAAGAGAGAAAAATAAGTATCTTTTAATGGAATTATTATTCTGTGAAAAAAAAGTAAAAATAATTATATTTTGCAATGTACTATTTTAATGAGATCAGTTTATTTCTTAATGTACTAAAGAAAGCAGATGTGATTCTTAAGATAGATCACCAGTCAAAGGTTTAAGGCACGGTGAAGAAAAGAAGTCCTTTCTGCACTCACACCACAAACAGAATTGCTTGTTGCACAAAAGCTAATTTAGATGAGCTAGATTGAACTGATGAGACAAAGTGAGTTATTTGGTTATGACAGAAGTCGCTGTGCTGTGGAAGAACAACCTGCATTCCAAGAAAAACACCTGTTATCAAATGTCACATTCGGTGGAGGATCCAACATGCTGTGGGGGTGTGTGGCTAGTTCAGGGACTGGGAGCCTTGTTAAAAACGAGGGTCAGATGAATGGAACCCAATATCAACACGCTCTTCAGGGTAATGTTCAGGCATCATGACACAAAACACAATTTCTCCAAAGGCATTCATGCAGGGGGAGAACTGCACCTTCTGGAATGGCTGTCACAGTCCCCTAACCTGAATATCATTGAAAATCTGTGGGATGATTTGAAGCAGGCTATTGATGCTCAGAAGCAATGTTCCCTCTAAGCTGTGCGCGCGCACAATTGCGCACTGCTGGCACGGTCGCTGCACACAAAAAAATCTGCGTTGCGCAGAAAAAAAAAAAAAATCGAACCTGAATTGAAATTAAACTAAATACGTTAACAATTCTGTTTTGCAGTGTTAGTAAGTGACTGGCTGCTCCCGTATGGGATTAGAACGATGCCACGTTATCCCATAGTCCAGCGATTCACATTCGTATATACGCAGCTAATCAACGTCGTTGACAGGCTATGACAGCGTCCTTATGTGCCGACACCGGTGTTTTAGCTAGCAAAGCGGCGTGGCTGATGTGGAGTGAAGCCACGTTAATGACAACGTGTACAACCATTGGAGATGTTAGCAGGGCAGACGGAACAACTGACGGAAAAGTGTGGATTTTATACCAGTTTTTAAATTGTGTTGATCGGCCACGTAAAACCAGAGTTATGATAAAATATATGCAATGTTTGGTTTTCTTCCTGAATATTATCGTTGTTTATATTTACTGCAGGAAGAAACTGTAAAAACGACGTTTTATAAGGAAAACGCTGGAAAGCGCTCTCCACCCGAGAGCAAAAAGAAAACCAAAACCCCCAGCCTTTCCTATTCGTCAAAAAATGTACCATGTCGACCAATCAAAAAAAAATGACATGGGAACATGGCATTTAGTTGTTTAGGGAGGAAGGAAGTTTTAGGAGTGACGGCGGAGTGATACATCTCCTGTTGTCAGGCCTGCAAGTATCAGGCTGTTGTTCTCCTTCATCTCATAGTGGACAGAAATATTTTTTTTGGAGTGGCACAAATAATTTGTGTGGCATCAAATTTGATGCAGAACAGCTGATTGTTCTGGAAATACTTTGAAATGTTTATTTTAAAAAAAACCCCCCACCTTGGCTGCATTTTTAGGTTAACATCTGCAAAAACTTTGTTTGCATAACGTTACTTTTTTGAAGTAGTAACTATATAATTAATTGCCCAACGTTGGTCATTATATGCTGTATTTTGCAGACAGAGAGTTACAGACTCTCTCCCAGACTCATACTCATAATACAAGTCAGAGCTTTATTTAAAAAAAAGAAAAAAAAGTAAGTTGTGTTTTCAAAATTGGAGTTCAAGTTATTTTTACTTCCAATAGTGTTAACATACTACACAGGTCATGAACAAGATTTTTTTAAATTTTCATTGTAAGTGGGCTAAAGCAGTTAATTAAAAGTAGTCTAACATAAATGTAAATGCTGTAATTTGATTATTTTAATAAACCATGAAACTTGGATGGATTCGATGCCGGCGTGACCACAGTGCACACATCTGATGTTGCTCGCAGTGGTCCAAGGGATCGCTCAGGGAGTTTGTGCGTTCGCTCAGACACATGAAAAATTAGAGGGAACATTGCTCAAAAACCATCAAGTTTAACTGAAATGGAGAGGTTTTGTATGGGAGAAGGATCAAACATGCCTCCATCTAGAATCTAGACACTCAAAAGCTGTAGGTGGTAAAGAGAATTATAGTCAAGCCCATAAAGTTACTTTTATTCAACCAGCAAGTTAGATTTTTTGAACGGAAATGACACGACAAGTGTCTCCCAAAAGCTAAAACAATGTACAAGAGGCATTATTGTGGAAAAACAAACAAACAAAACAATTTCTCAGCTTTTATTTACATTTGAGCAAGTGTCATGTCCAGAATTATTCATACCCTTCAAAAACTGTCACAGTCTCTGGGAAAATCCAAAGTTCTATACCATTCCAAATAGTCCAAGCTGTTCTAAAGCATCATAATTACCCTGATTAATTGGGAACAGCTGTTTTAATCAACTCTACGGGTGAAAAACAGCAGCCAGAGCTCTGCAGTTGGTTTGTGGACAGTCATGGCCAAGACAAAGGAGCTCAGTGAGGACCCGGGCTGAACATTGTGGCTGCTCACTAGTCAGGAAAAGGCTACAAGGCCATGTCTAAATGTTGTCAAGTACCAGTGTCTACATTGCAAAGTATTATTAAAAATACAAGATGTTCCACACTGTGGAAAATCTCAGAGGACATGGTCAGAAGCCAAAAGTGACACCTGTGCTGGCCAGGTGGATAGTGAGAGAGGTGAATAAGAATCCAAGGATCACCACCAGGGCCAAAATGGTGAGTCTGGGCTCTGTCTGTCTTGAGACATTGCCACCAACAATCCAACAGACACTGCACACTGCTGGGCAGAGATGGGCAGTAACGCGTCACTTGTAACGTGTTACTGTAATCTGATTACTTTTTTCATGTAACGAGTAAAGGGATTACTATTGCAAAAACGGTAATTAGATTACTGTTACTTTCCTGTAAGCACGCTGCATTACTAAAACCGTGATTTTTATTTTTTTATTTTTTTTTTGCGAGAATGTCTCATGACAGTGACGTAAGCGAGTGCAACGTTCGTGACAACAGCTGTGTGCAGATCAACAATGGATCATATATCGAGTGC